TATTAGTATCATTTATTCAATGATTTTTTAAAAAATCATCATAACAGAAAAAAATATTATAATAGATATTAGATTATAGATATTAGATAATAGATAGATATAGATAATAGATAGATATTAAATATTAGATTAGATAGTAAATACTAGATAGTACTAGATTATAATAAATTATAAAATAAAGATATATAAAAATTTCAAAATAATATGTATATCTTCAAATAAATAAAAAATAAAATATGTTTTTCGATTCTATTTTCAAATTTCATACGATTAATGTATGAATATATATTAACCACATATATAACATTCGAAAATGGAATAATTAAAAATATTAATTAATTAATAATAATTATTTATTTTTTATTTTGATTTAGTAACTTAATTTTCATAAATATGTATTATATTTAAATTAATGACCTTATAATTAATTATTGAGATAATTAAATAAATAATAATTATCAGTTTTTGTTAAATAATGTATTATCTATATGTATCTATTGATATATTCTCAAATATTTATAAATACATAATATAATGTCACATACTGTTATATATATTGTAAAAAATTATCACTAGAAAAAACTAAGAGAAACTTTCAAAGCGAATTTTCTATATATAGATCACGTGACTAATGATTTTAATAGATAAATTATCGTTGATTATCGTGAATTTTTTAATTCTTATTTTTCATATTTATTTCATGAGTATTCTAAAAAATCATTGCGTGATAAATAAAAAAATAATTATTCTATGCGTTTTTAAAACTTACAATAATATATTTTAATAATTATATCAAAACAAATATATTGTTTTTATTACCTTTGCGATTCATGATTAATCCATAATTTATTAAATAAAATAAGATTGAATTTACTATTGCAATTGAATATGTGCTTTTGATAATATAGAATGATGAAGAAATGCAGGAAGGAGAAAAAAGTGAGCAAAATTAATTAACCCTTTACTTAGTTGTTTACAAAATATCCGGTTCCTGACAAGCTGTCGGAGCAAATGAATTCAGGCGAGTAGGCGATGTTGCGCGCGCAATAATAACACGGCGCCGACAGTGCCGTGCATTCTTTAATTTTACTTAATTTCTACACTATTATATTATTAAATTATAAAAATTATATGTATTATTATAATGTATTTAAACTAATTATATATTTTTAAAATATATATATATTTAATTATATCTAATTATATTAGATATTATGTTATATTAATCATTTATAAATCTTTATTTTTATTTTTATATCATTAAAAATGTATTAAAAATATTAGATTAATTATATATTATTAATATTTTTAAAAGGTATTAGATTAAAATATATCTTTTTTTATTAATTATATTTTTAAAAATATTAATGTTTAAAACAATAAATATTTTTAATTTTCGTATTAAATTATTTATTTAATATGTATACATATGAATTCAATTTTACATTATATTTATTATCATATGAATATAAAACGAACATCAGTATGGTGGGAGACAGAATTACCCTATACGAGGTTGAGAGTATGAGCTGCGGGTCGTAAATGCACGACGAGCAGTTTCGATATAGAACTTGGGGCGCCTTTAACAGCGGTTGTATGAAGAACCGGTAAGCTGTGATTATTTGGGAATTTTTCAATACAAGAAACTGCCCAATTGATATTTGACAGTTTTTAAAAGCTTTTGGACAAGGAATTATCAACAGACGTATAGAAAGACAGAAACCAACGCAGATTTTTTCGTATCTGATGAGCTCCTCCGTCGCACCGCTGGTGGTAAGATGGCTGTGCAGTTGGATGGAGGAGGGAAGGAGGACTTGAAAACACAGTTTGTCACGCGGGAAGGAACTTATAAGCTAATGACTTTGTCGGAGTATTCAAGGCCAAATAGGGTCGGTTACACGAATAGTCAAGGAAGCGCATCCGTTAGAGTGTCTTTTGTAACTTTACCGGATCCAGCGGATCCTACGGGTACGCAAGGACTTGGTGATCGAATGTGTTTCAACTTTGGCAAAGAGCTTTATATTTATGTCTATCGAGGAGTTAAAAAGGTAATTTAGACTCTTCTCATAACTAGTGTATTTGTTGTTATATTTATATTTAATTAAGCATGGATTCATCGAAACCTAACCTCGAAAATGCATACTAAGACTCCATCTTTGCATCATCACCACACCTAACATAGAAAATTTTCTTTGCATATAAAATTATATTTATCAAACTTATTTTTAATTTAACGATTACTCTAAAATTAAATACATTAATTATTTTATTTATAATAATAACTTTTTTACTTGATTTAAAGTATAATATACAAATGTTATTTAATTCTCACTTATGAAATATTTTTATTAATATAAATAATTTTATGTTTTAATACTCAATATTTTTATTGATATAATATATAATATATATTAATTAATAAAATTAATTAATATAATTAAAAAATTAATAATTAATGCATATTTGTTGTAAAAATATATATATTTTTTAAATATTTATTTTAATAAAATTTTATATTTTATATTTTATATTTAACAATTAATTATAAATAAAAAATATTTTATCATTTTAAAAAATAAATAAATTTAATTAATTACAAAAAAATATTTTTGTATTATCTTAATTTTAAAATTAATT